GTATATTTAAAAAATTTTTGAACAAAATTCAACACGTACCTGAACTGAACTCCAGTAATGCATACATATTCCTGAACGCGGAACACATCACCAAGGCAACAGTTGCAATGACAGGAAGTTGGAATCTCTGAGACAGCACCGTGCAGCCAGCTGCCCCGTGTGGCTGAGAAATGCCTCCCTCCCCAGGCTTCATGCCGTTCATGTCCTGGGATCCACTGGCCGTTCATCCCCCGAGTTTCTGTTCATGGTGCGTTGTCGTCGTGAACCAGACGTTAGCTTCTGGACTCTCCCTTTACTTCGACTCTCGTTTTAGTCAGCTGCCCGCCTCACACTCATTTCCTCGGCAGCAGAGGCCCAGGGGGAGGGTCCCGCCGCCCCCGAGCGGCATCGCTATCGGGTGAAATGGACACTCTGTGAATTTCATGTGTAAGCTCTCCTTACGCCCCTCGGCGGGAGAGGTGTGCGGCCGCGGCGGCCTGTCCCACTAGGGCAGTGACGGCGAACCTTGTGAGCGCGGCGTGTCAGCGTTTGAAAAACCCTAACTTAACTCTGGTGCCGTGTCACATAGAGAAACTTTTTGATATTTGCAACCATAGTAAAACAAAGACTTATTTTTGATATTTATTTTATGTATTTAAATAACATTTAACAAAGAAAAATCAACCGAAAAAATGAGTTCGCGCGTCACCCCTGCCACGGGTGTCTGGGTCCGCCGTCACTGCCCAGAGCGAGGACAGCCCTGCCCCGGCCCGCGCTGGCGCTGACCGGCGCTCTCCCCACAGCGGCGCCCCGGCAGAGGATCGAGCTGGCCTTCGAGGAGCACTTCTACCTCGAGCCCTCGTTCGAGTGCCGCTTTGACCACCTGGAGGTTCGCGACGGGCCCTTCGGCTTCTCTCCGCTCATCGAGCGCTTCTGCGGCGTGAAGAGCCCTCCGCTGATCCGATCCACGGGGCGCTTCATGTGGGTCAAGTTCAGTTCCGACGAAGAACTGGAAGGAATGGGATTCCGGGCCAAGTACTCGTTTATTCCAGGTAACGAGCCGGTCTTCCCCCGGGAGGCCTGCCCGCCGTGGGCCTCCGTGGGCCAGAACTACGCCCACTCGGTCGGGTTAACACTGGGACCGCAGAGCCCTGCCCGCTGCGAACGTGCGCCCGTTCCCGCCGGGGACACGGGGACACGGGTCATCCGCCGTCGGCCCGGAGCCACGAGCTGACACGGTGACCGGGCAACGCGGTGCCGCAAGTGTGCGGTCTCTTGTCCCGTTTAGGTTTCGTGCCAGAAATTTGTTACTTGAAAAAAATGAAGCCCGACCTGTGACCTGTGTGGCTCGTGGTTGAGTGTCACAAAGTCGCAGTTCGATTTCCGGTCAGGGCGCAGGCCTGGGTTGCGGGCTCCATTCCCAGTGGGGGGCGTGCAGGGGGCAGCAGATCAGTGATTCTCTCCCATCATGGATGTGTCTCTCTTTCTCCCTCTCCCTTCCTCTCTGACATCAATACATATATATATGTTTTTAAGTCTATACATTATCACTTAAAACATTGATGCTCTCGGTGAACATGCACAGAAGTAACAGTGGTCTCTGGTCACACCAGGAAGCTTTCTCTAAACGGTTACTAAATGTAGCAGCTGTTACTAAGTATAGCACCTGTTACTAAATGGAGCATCTGTTACTAAATGGAGCAGCTGTTACTAAATGGAGCATCTGTTACTAAATGGAGCAGCTGTTACTAAATGGAGCAGCTGTTACTAAATGTAGCGTCTGTTACTGTAGCATCTGTTACTAAATGGAGCGTCCGCCACAGTAGGTGACCCCCCACTGTCTCACAATGCCACTGATGTCTCCTCTTTTCTGTTGCAGATCCAGAGTTTACTTACCTCGGAGGTATTTTAAGCCCCATCCCAGGTTTAGTATCTGCCTCTTTTTCCTCCTGGCGCCTCTGGTCCGCCCGCATTCCCGTTGAACGTGCTCCCCTCTCCCTTCCAGACTGCCAGTTCGAGCTCTCGGGGGCCGACGGCGTCGTGCGTTCCAGCCAGGTGGAGCAGGAGGAGAAGACGAAGCCCGGCCAGGCGGTGGACTGCATCTGGACCATCCGGGCCACCCCGAGGGCCAAGGTGCGGCTGCCTGCGAGGCGCGGGGAGGCCGTGAGGGCGCCTCCTGTGAGA